CCCCCCGGAGCTTATAGGCAGCCACCAAGTCCCCCCTGAGCCTTCTCTTCACCAGGCTGAAGAGTCCCATGTCCCTCAGCCTCTCCTCGTAAGGCTTGCTCTTTTGGCCTTTGATCATTTGAGTGGCTGTCCTCTGGGTTCTCCTGAGTTTATCCACATCTCTCCTGAAGTGAGGGGCCCAAAACTGGATGCAGTTCTCCAGCTGAAGTCTCACGAAGGCCGAGTAAAGTGGGAGGATGACATTCCTGGTTTTGCTCAAGATGCATCAGTGGATGCATGCCAAAGTTTGGTTTGCTCTGCCGGCCACAACGTTGGGGGCTTATGTACATCTTGTGGTCATTCAAGACCCCCCCAAGTCCCTTTCAGTCACGGTGCTGAGACTACAACTATGATGCTGGTTTTTTCTCCCAAGGTGGAGTACCCTGCATTTTTTTACATTGAATGCCATCAGGTTTAGGTCTGCCCACTTTGTAAGCATGTCCAGGTTAGCCTGTATCCCCAGCCTGTCCTCCAGCATGACCGCCTTCCCTCATAGTTTAGTGTTATCCATAAATTTTTTCAGTCTGCATCTGATGCCCAAATCCAGGTCATTAATGAAGATATTGAAGACTACTGGCCCAAGCACTGAGCCCTGGGGGACTCCACTGGTAACCCTGTGCCACACTGATTTATTCCCATCAACTAGTACCCTTTGGGTCCAACCCTGGAGCCAGTTCCCTAGCCATCGGACCATGAGATGTTTGAGGCCACAGTTCCCCAGGTTGGTCATGAGGGTATCATGGGAGTCAAAGTCCTTCTTCAAGTCCAGATAAATAATGTCAACTTCATCACCCTTGTCTAGGCAATGCACCAGCTTGTCATAGAAGGAAATGAGGTTGGCCAGGCAAGACCTTCCAGTAATAAAACCATGTTGGCTGGCATTCAGTAGGTTGCCTTCCATTAGCCTGTTGCAGATGGATCCTTTGATAATTTTCTCCAAGATCTTTCCAGGAAAGGAAGTCAGGCTGATAGGTCTGTAATTCCTTGGATCTTCTTTCTTTCCTTTCTTGAAGACTGGGACCATGTTGGCTCTTTTCCAGTCTTCCAGTACATCACCCAAGTGCCATGAGTTTTCAAATATCTTGGCCATAGGGCATGCTATGATGTCCGCCAACTCTTTTAAGACTCTCAAGTGTAATCCATCTGGGCCCATGGACTTATGGATGTCAAGCCTCTCGAGGTGTTCTCTCACTTGAGCTGCATCAATCGTGGGCCCATCTCCCAAGCCCTGGTTGCTTTGCATCCTATCTGACAGTGTGACCCCCTTGCACGGGTGGAAAACTGATGCAAAATAATTGTTTAGGAGATTGGCCTTTTCTTGGGTGTCAGCTGCCCCACTTGATCTTGTAGAGGGCCAATGTTGCTTTTGTTCTTCCTCTGACTTCCCACATATCTGCAGAATGACTTTTTGTTATACTTGATTCCAGTGGCTAGCCTGAGTTCAGTTGCTGCCTTGGCTTTTCTGGACCGCTCCCTACAGGTATGGGCTAGTGCAGAGTAGTCCTCCTTTGTAATGATTCCAGTTTTCCATCTGATGTAGGCTTCTCTGTTTTGTTTTAGGAGCCCCAGAAGTTCCCTGTTAAGCCAAGGGGGCTTCCCTGCCCTCTGACTGCATTTCCTGTGGGACAGGATGGACTTCACTTGCGCTTTGAGGATTGAGTTCTTTAAGAACAACCATTCCTCATGCACTCCCCTTCCTAGGGGGCCATGGTGCCTTAGTGCCTGACTAACCAGTCTCCTGAGTCTGTGGAAGTCAGCCTTCCCAAAGTTGAGGATTTGCCTATCCTGTGTTGGACAGAGAAAGTAATCAGATCATGGTCACTGACACCAAGCTTGCCCTTGATCCTCAGATCCTACCCTACCTCAAGGGTGATTGCTTGGAGGATGAGAGGGAAACCTCCTAGAACAAGGCACTGCCCATCCCACTATTGTGCATGTCAAGCAGCTACTTTCAGTGCTGGTAAATACCAGCTACATTTCACACCCCTATCTGTGCCCTGCACTGAGCGTGCCCAATCTCTGCTCCATCTCACACCCATATTTGAGCCCTGCATCAAGTGTGCCTGGTCTCAGCTCCATCTCATAGCCATGTCTGTTCCCTGAACCAAGCATGCCTTGTCTCAGCACCTTCTCACACCCATGTGTGAGCCCTGCATGGATTAGGCCTGGTCTCATCTTTCTCACACCCATGTCTGAGCCATTATAGCTGCAGGACAGCCCAGGATCCCACTGCTAAGACCTCCTAGCTCAAGTGGCTACTTGAATTTTCAAGTTGGCAAATACCAAGGTGATAATTGAGTACTTTGCACTTCCAGCAACAAAACCTGCTTTATCTATTTTACCTCACTCATACCCACACAGAACAACAAAGCACGGAGATAAGAAAATACAGGCTCTGGAACTACACCTGATAGACAAATTACATAACTCTCAGTGCAGGTGGACTGTAAATCACATTTGCATGATAGATATTACAAACCAGTCACAGAACCTGTTTCAACTACATCTGGTTCAGTTAAATTATGTCCATCAAGCTTTTGATATCAAGCCATGGTCAAGCCCCTAAATGAGATTTAACCTCATGCACATGTATTACGTTATGGGTTGTAACACATTATTGGGTTGTGAAGTGTAATGTCTATGTAATGTCTAATGGCCTTCAGAGACCTAGAGTACAAGAAAATATAAATTCCCTTTTGGAATGAACAAATTGTCCCGTACTTAAATTATTTATCAGAAAATAATTCTTTTCTTCAAAGAAAATGTAATATATGGTCATTTTATTTTATCAAAAATAATGTCAATGAGCTACCACATTTGACACCAGTGTGTCATATATAGCAACATAATTTAGTATCAAATGATTTAGTTGCATGTCAATGGCAGGTGGCTGGACTATGACAATTAGTCTCCTAACTTTTGCAGTAAGTGGAGAGAAAAATACACCACCTTATCTCATGCGTTTGAGATGTGTTTTAATTCTGTCAGTTTTCCTTTGCTGTAAATTAGCAACACTACAGAACATAACCTTTATTGTTTAGCTTTCCCTACTTCAGAAGATGCTAAATTATCTCATTCATCACACAATTATCTTTGACCCTCTCCCACAAATGCTGTTTTAGAAGTTTTATTGCACATAATTAAGACAATGTAATTGTTAGAGCTAGTCTTCCTGTCTTTGTGCAGAGTAATCAAACCAATATAGATGAGGAGGCATGAAGTATAGTCTTCCCTCAGTAAAACTGTGTATTTCTCATCATTAGTGAGAACTTCACCCATGTACAAGTGAGTACACAGCCTATCCCCACATTATAACTATATGACTGAGAGATCTAAATACATTTTAGTCCCTGCAGCCTGGCTTGGACTAACTGTATATAGAGCACACACCATCAGGTAGTCATTCCCCTTTTAATTGGGTCACTGATAAATACAAGCTTCTGTTGGGTTTCTAAATTATTGCTGGTCACACAAATGATACTGATAAAAGATTTCAATGAGCTACAAAAGAAGCTGAGCAATGATCATTATGGAATGACAAAATCACACAAAGATCCATTAAAGATCATGATCTAAATCAGAGGTAGGCAAAGTTTTTTGGCCAGAGTGCTGAAAAAACCCACAATGCCTACCTTGGAAGGTGCCAGAGTGCCAGCATGCCAGAAAGACAAAACAAGGGCAAGAGGTACATGGCAGGATGCTCTGCTTGTGCCCCTTGCCCCCCACCCAAAGCCTCTGCCTCCCAGCCCAGGCTCCGTGGCTATCAGCAGCTACCCAGTAACCTGAGCCAGCTGCAAACAGCTGCTGCCTCCCCACCCCCCGGCCCCAACACATGCTGAGGAAAATGGCCTTGCATGCCATGGGTTGCCAACCCCTGATCTAAATGCTTTACAAAACAAACCTCTAAAGTCAGTGGAAATCTGCTTGAGTACTGGCATCGGGGTCTGGCCCTACCAGCATGAAAGGAAGTAACTATTTGGCTAACAAGATCACACTGACTTATAGGCTAAGCGGTACAGACATTCAAAAAGCCCAAGGTGGAATCAATCCAAGTCACTTGGTTTTATATAACCAGTATAGCGGAATAGCTTAAATCAGTAGCAAACAGAACACATATTTGCCCTTTGATTGCAAGCAGGGGGGAGGGGGGGATGCAAATCTTAGAGTGAGTTCTGCCATTTTTAAACCAGTCTGTGTGCGCCAAACTTCTGTTCTGCTTCCGGATATAGACTGGTTTTGCATGCCAAATTTCTTTTGTGCTTTACAGTTTCCTTTTAGTTATAAACCAGTTTCCAGTCACTTATGTGGGAAAAAGTGTAATGTCTGTATCTGGCCCTACAGGAGAGGTGCTCAAATGCAGATCAAAATATTCTGTATTTAAATTAAGTTTTACAAATTATATTGAACACAAAATATTCCAATATTTGTTAACGCTTCTGTTTTCAAGAATTTATTAGTGGCAAAAGGCAGTTTAAAGAAACAGAGAGATGCCAACATACAAGAAGAAATCTGAAATAAGAAAAATTAGCAAAATTGAAAAGACATGGTTAAATAAGTTACTTTCTACAAAATTATGCATTATTTCACACTGTGCAAGGTGCTTTAAAAAAAAACAACCTAGTATTTTAACTTGAGGCACTTAGCCAGGCTGGACACCAGAACCAAATCATAAATGTAAGTTCATCTAGAATACTGCCTTTTTGTGTGGTTCTAAAAAGAAGCTTCCTTTCCATATTACTTTTTTGTGTGAATTTTATAAACGTCATACATGCTTATAGCTTTCATGTCTTTAGGTAAGACTTGCACACAGCATGCTCATTCAGACATTAATTCTACTCACACTGTTCTGCCCATTCCTGGTCCTCATGCTCATTATGTTGGCTATGTTGTTGAGCTTGCTTAAGACTCAAGTACAACTCTTTTGCTCTAAGTTCTTCCTGTTGCCGTATCAGTTCTTCACCTTTTTGCCTCTCTTCTTCTTCTCTTTTCTAAATGAAAGAAGATGAATCATAAATCACTAGCGAAGTAAGATGCTCAGCATTTAGGAAATAAATTTAATCCCCCTTTCTCCCCTTACTTCCTGTGTGTACAAATCACCACTAGTCTCACTACCTTTCCATCTATAAAATAAGAATAACAATACTTTTCTATCTCATAGGATGTTCTGAAGATTAATACACTAAATACTATCATAACATACTACAGTGGTCAGGGCCATATAAGTACTGAAAACGGATTGCTTGCCTGAAATCTGGCAAGGAAAATTTGCTGTCATGTGATACCTGTTAGCCATATTTCTATAAATTGCCCTGTTGCTTTCGCACAAGCTACATCACCATGGGTGACAACTTTAAGTCAAAGACCACTCATATCTTCCAATGCAGGATTTGTGGAATTCATTGTTTGCTTTAAGTGCTTTACAGTTTCCTTATTTTAGCAGCACAGAGTACAGCATCTACATGGTATAAGCAACAAAGAGAACATGTTTCTATAACACCAAAGTTAGATAATAAAATTTCCTCACAAACATTTTGTCATAATCCAACCTGTAGCTAAAAATGCCCAGAGCAAATACGGGTTATTCTAGAAACTGAACATTAACTGATCTCCAAGAACAGCCCCATGAAATAAAACTGATTTTTTTTCTTTTCTAATCTTTGCAGTGGATTTTCAACTAAAATTGGCTTTTTATTAGCCAATAGCCTTAAGTACCCTGGGCATGTATAAGGCTTAACAATGGTATTTTCAAAAGGGATTAGTGTTGATTTAACTGTGTCTTTGAGATGGGATTTTTTACAACTGATTTCAATGAGAACAAGGTGACACTGAAAAATAGGTGGGTTAAGGTCTTTGACATTTCCCAGGGTTCAGTATACAACCACGTACTCTTAGGCTTGAAGTCTTTGGAAAGTATTATAGCTATTTAAATGAATAGAAAATAATCTGTTATGTGTGTTAAAAGAGACTGACTTGTTCTAGCATGGCACCTATTCTGAGACATTTGAGCAAATGGTTCTTAAATGTAAAAGTTGCATTTGTTCATTTTTCCCCAAGTGTTGGGTATAGGGTAGAGAGGTAGAGTGGGAGAGGGACAGTGGTTTTTGGATAGGATTGTAGAGTGGGAAGTAGAGGCACAGTGATTTTTGGACAGGATTACTCCTACATTCCAAGGGGGATCTCTACACATTTCAGTGTATTTTATTATATTATGGGCATATACCCTGAACTTTGTGGCAGGACATATTTTATCACTCCAAAAATAAATCCAGTGTGTTATATACCTCTGCAGTTTTCATTACAGCAGGGTTCACAACATGACCAATACAATCTACAGTCTATTTTATTAAACACTCTAAATACATACAAGTGAATGAAGAGATACTGGGACTGAGATTATAAACTGATTATTGATATTCTCTAAATCTCATAACTTCCAGATCAAGACTCAGTCCCACCCTGTGCAGAGTTATGCTGTAGTGCTAATTTGGTATCCAAGTTTTACTTGGATGTCTCTTTTCCAGGTACCATGCTAACACAGCTTGACCTATATAGTAGCTTACAAGAGCTAATCAAGATCCCCAAACAAGTGTATGTGACTGAAGTCTTGGCATTAGTTCCTAGCTATGACCATCTTCTGAAATCTGTGGTATACTCTCAGTAATTACTTCATCCTGCCAGTGGATTGCAGTATTAGTTTGCTTAGACTCATGTCACCCCCTCATATAGAGAACAAGACATCACCAATGTTGAGGGCTCAATCTGCACCATAATCTTTAGCAGAACCTAGTATTTTTATATATATATATATATATATATATATA